TGGGACATGACCAGGAGCATGGCTTTAGGAAAAGTTGGCAACCCAATGCCGAAAATAGTGGGACATGCAGAGGAGCATTGCTCTTGGAAAAAGTTGGCAACCCTAGAATTGAAATAGTGAGACATGCGCATTGGCGACCCTAGACCTGGGACATGACCAGGAGCATGGCTTTAGGAAAAGTTGGCAACCCAATGCCAAAAATAGTGGGACATGCAGAGGAGCATTGCTCTTGGAAAAAGTTGGCAACCCTAGAATTGAAATAGTGAGACATGCGCATTGGCGACCCTAGACCTGGGACATGACCAGGAGCATGGCTTTAGGAAAAGTTGGCAACCCAATGCCGAAAATAGTGGGACATGCAGAGGAGCATTGCTCTTGGAAAAAGTTGGCAACCCTAGAATTGAAATAGTGAGACATGCGCATTGGCGACCCTAGACCTGGGACATGACCAGGAGCATGGCTTTAGGAAAAGTTGGCAACCCAATGCCGAAAATAGTGGGACATGCAGAGGAGCATTGCTCTTGGAAAAAGTTGGCAACCCTAGAATTGAAATAGTGAGACATGCGCATTGGCGACCCTAGACCTGGGACATGACCAGGAGCATGGCTTTAGGAAAAGTTGGCAACCCAATGCCGAAAATAGTGGGACATGCAGAGGAGCATTGCTCTTGGAAAAAGTTGGCAACCCTAGAATTGAAATAGTGAGACATGCGCATTGGCGACCCTAGACCTGGGACATGACCAGGAGCATGGCTTTAGGAAAAGTTGGCAACCCAATGCCGAAAATAGTGGGACATGCAGAGGAGCATTGCTCTTGGAAAAAGTTGGCAACCCTAGAATTGAAATAGTGAGACATGCGCATTGGCGACCCTAGACCTGGGACATGACCAGGAGCATGGCTTTAGGAAAAGTTGGCAACCCAATGCCGAAAATAGTGGGACATGCAGAGGAGCATTGCTCTTGGAAAAAGTTGGCAACCCTAGAATTGAAATAGTGAGACATGCGCATTGGCGACCCTAGATCTGGGACATGACCAGGAGCATGGCTTTAGGAAAAGTTGGCAACCCAATGGCGAAAGTAGTGGGACATGCACAGGGGCATTGCTCTTGGAAAAAGTTGGCAACCCTAGACATGAAATAGGAGCGTGGCTATAGGAAAAGTTGGCAACCCTAGACCTGAAATAGTGAGACATGTGCAGGAGCATGGATATAGGAAAAGTTGGCAACCCTAGACTTCAAATAGGAGCATGTCTATAGGAAAAGTTGGCGACCCTAGACCTGGGACATGTGCAGGAGCATTGCTCTTGGAAAAAGTTGGCAACCCTAGACTTGAAAGAGGAGCATGGCTATAGGGAACGTTAGCAACCTTAGACCTGAAATAGCGAGACATGCGCAGGAGCATGGCTATAGGAAAAGTTGGCGACCCAATGCCGAAAATAGTGGGACATGCACAGGAGTATTGCTCTTGAGAAAAGTTGGCAACCCTAGACTTGAAATAGTGAGACGTGCATTGGCGACCCTATACCTGGGACATGTGCAGGAGCATGGCTGTAGGAAAAGTTGGCAACCCAATACCCGAAATAGTGGGACTTGCCGAGGCGTTTCCTTGCCAAGGTGCAAAGAGTCTCCCTGGGCGTCCAGCCCAGAGGTTTCCTGTTATTTTCCTGCCTTGGCCGAGGTCAAGGGACACTCCTCTGTCCGGCGGAGGGGTCACATGGCCCCTTTGGCCCCCTGAGCCAGCGCTTTCCTGTTTTGCTGAGTCGCCATTTCCTCCTCCTCCTCCTCCTCCGTTGCAGGGAATTCCAGCCGGAGCGTGGCCCGTGCAAGGGAGCATCCACACTGGGAAACTGATGCACTTTGGCCCCACTTGAAGGGCCAAGGTGATGGGGCCTGGGAGCTGTAGTTCTCCAAGGTCTTCCCTGCCAGGGTATAGTGTAGCACTCAACTCAAGGCCCGAAAAGGTGTCCGGGATGGAGTTTGTAGGCTCCAAGTGGGAATTCAATGGGATTTCAAGGAACAGAAGGAGGCTCAATGGGGAGGAAGTGTAAGGAAGGAGGGAGGAAGAAGGGAGGAAAGGAGAAAGGAAGAAGACAAGGAAGGAAGGAAGGGAGGCATAGAGGAAGGGAGGGAAGGAAGGAAGGAAGAAAAGAAGGGAGGAAAGAAGAGAGAGAAAGGAAGAAAGGAATAAGACAAGGAAGGAAAGAAGGGAGGCAAAGAGGAAGGGAAGGAAGGAAGAAAAGAAGGGAGGAAGAAAGGAAGGAAAGAAGGGAAGGAAGGAAAGGGAAGGAAGGAAGGAAGAAAGAAGGAAGGGAGGAAGAAGAGAGAGAAAGGGAAGGAGAAAGAAAGGAAAGAAGGAAGGAAAGGAAGGCGGGAAGGAAGACAGGAAGGAGAAAGAGAGAGAGGAGGGAGGGAGGAAAGAGGGAATGAAGGAAGGATGAAAGGGAAGGAAGGAAGGGTGAAAAGGAAGGAAGGAAGAGAGAGAAGGAGGGAGGAAAGAGAGAAAGGAAGATGAGAAAGGAAGAAAAAGAGGGAGGGAGGAAAGAAGGAATGAAGGGAGAAGGGAAGGAAGGAGTGAAAGAAGAGAAAGAAAGAAGAGAAAGAAGGGAGGCATAGAAGGAGAGAGGGAGGAATGAAAGAAGGAAAGAAAGAAGTCTGGAAAAAGGGAAGGAAGGAAGGAAGAGGAAAGGAAGGAGGAAGAAAAGGAAGGCAAAAGGGAGGAGAGGAAGGAAGGAAGAAGGGAAGGAAGAAAGAAGGCAGACATAGATGGAGGGAGGGAGGAAGAGTAGGAGGGGTGGGTGGAGGGATGGATGGAGGAAGGAAGGAAAAAAGGAAGGAAGGAAAGAAAGAATGTTGGAAAAAAGGGTGAAAGGAAGGAAGAGAAATTGAAAGAAGAAGAAAAGAAGGGCAAAGAGGAGGAAAGGAGAGGGAGAAAGGAAGGAGACAAGGAAGGAAAGAAGGGAGGCATAGAGGGAGGGAGGGAGGGAGGGAGGGAGGGGGGGAGGGAGGGAGGGAAGAAGGAAGGAAGGAAGGAAGAAGGAAGGAAGGAAGGAAGGAAGGAAGGAAGGAGAGAAGTAAAGAAGAAGGAAGGAAGGAAGGAAGAAGGAGGAGGAAAAAGGAGGAAGAGAAGAGGAAGGAAGAGAGAAAGGAGGAAAGGAGGAAGGGAAGGAAGGAAGAAGGGAAGGAAGGAAGGAAAGAAAGAAAGAAAGAAAGAAAGAAAGAAGGAAAAAAATCTGGAAAAAAGGGAGAAAGGAAGGAGGAAGAAAAGGAGGGCAAAAGGGAGGAGAGGAAGGAAGGAAGAAGGGAAGGAAGGAAGGAAAGAAAGAAAGAAAGAAAGAAAGAAAGAAGGAAAAAAATCTGGAAAAAAGGGAGAAAGGAAGGAGGAAGAAAAGGAGGGCAAAAGGGAGGAGAGGAAGGAAGGAAGAAGGGAAGGAAGGATGCAAACATAAGCTATGTGCCAATTAGGGAAGGGTCTCTGGGCCTGTGCCAAGTGTTTCCTCGCTACTACGCTCTACGGGAAGCAACTATAAGTTGTGTGACCAATTGGGGAAGGGTCTCTGAGTCTGTGCAACATGTTTACTCACTACTACTCCTTCCAGGAAGCAACTATAAGTTGTGTGCCCAATTGGGGAAGGGTCTCTGAGTCTGTGCAAAGTGTTTACTCACTACTACTCCTTCCAGGAAGCAACTATAAGTTGTGTGCCCAATTGGGGAAGGGTCTCTGAGTCTGTGCAAAGTGTTTACTCACTACTACTCCTTCCGGGAAGCAACTATAAGCTGTGTGCCCAATTGGGGAAGGGTCTCTGAGTCTGTGAAAAAGTGATTACTCACTCCTACTCCTTCCGGGAAGCAACTATAAGTTGTGTCCCCAATTGGGGAAGGGTCTCTGAGTCTGTGCAAAGTGTTTACTCACTACTACTCCTTCCAGGAAGTAACTATAAGTTGTGTGTCCAATTGGGAAAGAGTCTCTGAGTCTGTGCAAAGTGTTTACTCACTACTACTCCTTCCAGGAAGCAACTATAAGTTGTGTGCCCAATTGGGGAAGGGTCTCTGAGTCTGTGCAAAGTGTTTACTCACTACTACTCCTTCTGGGAAGCAACTATAAGTTGTGTGCCCAATTGGGGAAGGGTCTGTGGGCCTGTGCAAAGTGTTTACTCACTACTACTCCTTCCGGGAAGCAACTATAAGCTGTGTGCCCAATTGGGGAAGGGTCTGTGGGCCTGTGCAAAGTGTTTACTCACTACTACTCCTTCCGGGAAGCAACTATAAGCTGTGTGCCCAATTGGGGAAGGGTCTCTGGGCCTGTGCAAAGTGTTTACTTGCTATTACTCCTTCCAGGAAGCAACTATAAGCTGTGCGTCCAATTGGGGAAGGATTGAGTCTGTGCAAAGTATTTAGTCACTACTACTCCTTCCGAGAAGTAACTATAAGTTGTGTCCCCAATTGGGGAAGGGTCTCTGAGTCTGTGCAAAGTGTTTACTCACCACTACTACTTCCAGGAATCAACTATAAGTTGTGTGCCCAATTGGGGAAGGATCTCTGAGTCTGTGAAAAAGTGATTACTCACTCCTACTCCTTCCGGGAAGCAACTATAAGTTGTGTCCCCAATTGGGAAAGAGTCTCTGAGTCTGTGCAAAGTGTTTACTCACTACTACTCCTTCCAGGAAGCAACTATAAGTTGTGTGCCCAATTGGGGAAGGGTCTCTGAGTCTGTGCAAAGTGTTTACTCACTACTACTCCTTCTGGGAAGTAACTATAAGCTGTGCATCCAATTGGGGAAGGGTCTCTGAGTCTGTGCAAAGTGTTTACTTGCTACTACTCCTTCCGAGAAGTAACTATAAGTTGTGTGCCCAATTGGGGAAGGGTCTCTGAGTCTGTGCAAAGTGTTTACTCACTACTACTCCTTCTGGGAAGCAACGATAAGTTGTGTGCCCAATTGGGGAAGGGTCTCTGGACCCATATAAAGCATTTTCCCTGCCCCAGACCCACAGGAACCATGACTCACTGCGGGCCTTCTGCTTGATGTGGCTGACGATGGCGGTGTAGTTGCTCTCTGGGAAAGGGATGTCCTCCACGGTGATGTTGAGGCTGGGCAGCTGGAGGTAGAGCCCCTCCACGGCAAAGTAGCAGGGCCGGTCGTCGTGCCCAACCCAGTAGAGCAGCAGAGCCCGGCGGGTCCAGCCGAAGTGCTGGCTGAGTCGCATCCCGAACTCGCCCAGCTTTCCATGGCTAGGCCCAGTCCGGGTGGTCAATGCATACTCGGCGGACTTCTGTCCGAAGCCCACGGCCTCGGCGGCGGCAGTCAACAAGGGCAGCCCCCAGTGGCGGGTGAAACGGGCCACCGGGGCTGTCGTGTAGACGCAACCAGGCCCCAGGAAAAGGGAAGGGTTGGCCCCCATCTTGAGGTCCACGGCCGAGAGCGGGGCGATGGAGTCCGAGCAGGTGCCCTCCTGGTCCTCGCTGGAGCCGAACAGCAGCCGGACCGTGAAGCCGGGCAGCAGGTCCCGCCGTGTGTTGACACTCCGCACGGCCCTCCGCACGGCCGGGCCCACCCGCGGCCAAGCCCAGGGGTAGCTGGTGTTGCGCTCGGGGAGAACCACCGCAATCGTCAAGTCGGCCCCGGCACAGGAGTCCGGGTGGCAGCAAAGCATCAGCAGGAGGCACCACAGGACCGGGAAATGGCCAGAGGGATTCACTAAAGAGGGATGCATTCCCTTGCTCCCCTCCTTGCGTCTCTCCATCCTTAAGGCTGATCCTTGGACAACTCCAAGGAAGGCTCAAAAGCTGTCTGACCCTTGACCTCTGCTGGGGGGGGTCGTCACCTTCTGACCCTCTAATTGTTGTTGTTGTTCTTGTTATTTATACCCCGCCTTTCAAATGTCTCAGCTTTGTGTAGAATCCAATTTTAGGGGGAAAGACCCCCTTTCCTGCCCCTCAAAAGTATCACCCCATGGGGCAAAGGCAAGGGGCAAGGCCTTCTCTTTCTCTCCGGGTAACCCCCCTACATTTGGGACCCCCACAAGCCCCCCCAAAAGATTCCGCCTATTGCACCCGTTCGGATACAACCACACTGCCCCACAAATCGAATCCCCTCCCCAAATCTAACCCGCTTAACTCTTTGCCCCGGAACCTACCCCATATCCCACTGTGGCCCCAAATCTATCACGTCCTCCCCTCAAAAGATTATCCTTTAGATCTAACCCTACCCAGGGTTTACCTGGTCATGGAGAACCTGTCGTGCCCTACCCTACTCTTTGTCCCCGTCCTGGTCCTGACCTTGCCTGACTCTACCCCACTGAACCCCAGATTGAGATCCTGCTTGACCGTGACTGAAAGCTGGCTGACGGTCACCCCAAAACTAGGTCTGCCCGACCGACCGTTCCTCAGTTGCCCCTACCCTACTCTTTGTCACCGTCCTGGTCCTGACCTTGCCTAAGTGTACCCCACTGAACCCCAGTTGAGATCCTACTTGACCGTGACCATAGGCCGGCTGATGGTCACCCCAAAACTAAGTCTGCCCGACCGACCGTTCTTGAGTTGCCCCTACCCTACTCTTTGTCCCCATCCTGGTCCTGATCTTGCCTAAGTGTACCCCACTGAACCCCAGTTGAGTTCCTGCTTGACTGTGACCAAAAGCTGGCTGACGGTCACCCCAAAACTAAGTCTGCCCAACCGACCGTTCCTCAGTTGCCCCTACCCTACTCTTTGTCCGCGTCCTGGTACTGACCTTGCCTAACTACCCCACTGAACCCCAGTTGAGATCCTACTTGACCGTGACCAAAGGTTGGCTAACAGTCACCCCAAAACTAAGTCTCCCCGATGGACCGTTCCTCAGTTGCCCCAATCAATCCAACTTTGCTGGTATTGATCCAGCCGGTTCGCTCCCTGCTGGATCAATACCCCTAATCAAAGGACTAACTACCCCTCCTGGAATTAACCCCAATGGACTTGGGGGGTCGAATCCCCCCCAACTAGATCCAAAAGTCAACTCACCGCAGAGCCCTGTACTTTGTCCCACTGTCCCGCAAAATTATCTAGTCCGAACCCCCAGTTGTAACCCACCCCCAGTGACTTGGCCCCCCAAGGGTACCCCACCCAAGGGAACCCCAAAAGTTTCTCCTGCTGACCACAAGTTGTCTATTATCTCTCCCCCAAACTGACCCCACTGTACCCCCAAATCTGTCCCTGCTCTGCCCCCCAAATCTGCCCCCCAAGACCCCCAGGTAGCTCCCACTTGCCTCTGCCTCTCTGCCTTCCTTCCTATCAGGAGGAACCGGAGGAGTGACTGAGAGAAGAGAAGGAGGAGGATTTATTCGCCCAAGTAGAGGAGGAGGAGGAAGAAGAGGAGGAGGAGGAGGGTTAACCCCGTCCTGCCCGGAGGACAGCAAAGGACCCCTCCCCAAAACACACCTTGCCAATATAGACTATTGCACCCATACATACCTATTATTATTATTATTATTATTATTATTATTATTATTTACACTATACTTGCCTTTACCTGCCCATGGAGAACCTGTTGCACCCATTAATGTCTATTATTATTATTGTTATTATTATTATTGCACTTTACTTGCCTTTACCTGCGCATGGAGAACCTGTTGCGCCATAAACAATAACAACAACACACTATTTTTGCCTTTTCCTGCTCGGGAGGAAACTTGTCGCATTTATAAATTAATAATAATAATAATAATAATAATAATAATATCACACTATATTTGTTCTTACCTGCGCGTGGAGAACCTGTTGCACCCATAAACAACAACAACAACAACAACAACACACTATTATTATTATTGCTGTTGTTGTTGTTATTGCACTATACTTGCCTTTACCTGCTCCGGAGGGAACCTGTAGCACCTATAAATATCTATTATTATTATTATTATTATTATTATTATTATTATTATTGCTGTTGTTGTTGTTATTGCACTGTACTTGCCCTTACCTGCTCAGGAGGGAACCTGTTGCACCTATAAATATCTATTATTATTATTATTATTATTATTATTATTTTGTTGTTGTTGTTGTTGTTATTGCACTATACTTGCCCTTACCTGCTCAGGAGGGAACCTGTAGCACCTATAAATATCTATTATTATTATTATTATTATTATTATTATTATTATTATTATTGCTGTTGTTGTTGTTATTGCACTATACTTGCCCTTACCTGCTCCAGAGGGAACCTGTAGCACCTATAAATATCTATTATTATTATTATTATTATTATTATTATTATTATTATTGCTGTTGTTGTTGTTATTGCACTGTACTTGCCCTTACCTGCTCAGGAGGGAACCTGTTGCACCTATAAATATCTATTATTATTATTATTATTATTATTATTATTATTATTATTGTTATTGCACTATACTTGCCCTTAGCTGCTCAGGAGGGAACCTGTTGCACCTATAAATATCTATTATTATTATTATTATTATTATTATTATTGTTGTTGTTGTTGTTGTTATTGCACTATACTTGCCCTTACCTGCTCAGGAGGGAACCTGTAGCACCTATAAATATCTATTATTATTATTATTATTATTATTATTATTATTATTATTGCTGTTGTTGTTGTTATTGCACTATACTTGCCCTTACCTGCTCCAGAGGGAACCTGTAGCACCTATAAATATCTATTATTATTATTATTATTATTATTATTATTATTATTATTGCTGTTGTTGTTGTTATTGCACTGTACTTGCCCTTACCTGCTCAGGAGGGAACCTGTTGCACCTATAAATATCTATTATTATTATTATTATTATTATTATTATTATTATTGTTATTGCACTATACTTGCCCTTAGCTGCTCAGGAGGGAACCTGTTGCACCTATAAATATCTATTATTATTATTATTATTATTATTATTATTGTTGTTGTTGTTGTTGTTATTGCACTATACTTGCCCTTACCTGCTCAGGAGGGAACCTGTAGCACCTATAAATATCTATTATTATTATTATTATTATTATTATTATTATTATTATTGCTGTTGTTGTTGTTATTGCACTGTACTTGCCCTTACCTGCTCCGGAGGGAACCTGTAGCACCTATAAATATATATTATTATTATTATTATTATTATTGTTGTTGTTGTTGTTGTTGTTATTGCACTATACTTGCCCTTACCTGCTCAGGAGGGAACCTGTAGCACCTATAAATATCTATTATTATTATTATTATTATTATTATTATTATTATTATTATTGCTGTTGTTGTTGTTATTGCACTATACTTGCCCTTACCTGCTCCGGAGGGAACCTGTAGCACCTATAAATATCTATTATTATTATTATTATTATTATTATTATTATTATTATTGCTGTTGTTGTTGTTATTGCACTGTACTTGCCCTTACCTGCTCAGGAGGGAACCTGTTGCACCTATAAATATCTATTATTATTATTATTATTATTATTATTATTATTATTATTGTTATTGCACTATACTTGCCCTTAGCTGCTCAGGAGGGAACCTGTTGCACCTATAAATATCTATTATTATTATTATTATTATTATTATTGTTGTTGTTGTTGTTGTTATTGCACTATACTTGCCCTTACCTGCTCAGGAGGGAACCTGTAGCACCTATAAATATCTATTATTATTATTATTATTATTATTATTATTATTATTATTATTGCTGTTGTTGTTGTTATTGCACTATACTTGCCCTTACCTGCTCCGGAGGGAACCTGTAGCACCTATAAATATCTATTATTATTATTATTATTATTATTATTATTATTATTATTGCTGTTGTTGTTGTTATTGCACTGTACTTGCCCTTACCTGCTCAGGAGGGAACCTGTTGCACCTATAAATATCTATTATTATTATTATTATTATTATTATTATTATTATTATTATTGTTATTGCACTATACTTGCCCTTAGCTGCTCAGGAGGGAACCTGTTGCACCTATAAATATCTATTATTATTATTATTATTATTATTATTATTGTTGTTGTTGTTGTTGTTATTGCACTATACTTGCCCTTACCTGCTCAGGAGGGAACCTGTAGCACCTATAAATATCTATTATTATTATTATTATTATTATTATTATTATTATTATTGCTGTTGTTGTTGTTATTGCACTGTACTTGCCCTTACCTGCTCCGGAGGGAACCTGTTGCACCTATAAATATATATTATTATTATTATTATTATTATTGCTGTTGTTGTTGTTGTTATTGCACTATACTTGCCCTTACCTGCTCAGGAGGGAACCTGTAGCACCTATAAATATCTATTATTATTATTATTATTATTATTATTATTATTATTATTATTGTTGTTGTTGTTGTTGTTATTGCACTATACTTGCCCTTACCTGCTCAGGAGGGAACCTGTTGCACCTATAAATATCTATTATTATTATTGTTGTTGTTGTTGTTGTTATTGCACTATACTTGCCCTTACCTGCTCAGGAGGGAACCTGTTGCACCTATAAATATCTATTATTATTGTTGTTGTTGTTGTTGTTGTTATTGCACTGTACTTGCCCTTACCTGCTCAGGAGGGAACCTGTTGCACCTATAAATATCTATTATTATTATTATTATTATTATTATTATTATTATTATTGTTGTTATTGCACTATACTTGCCCTTACCTGCTCAGGAGGGAACCTGTTGCACCTATAAATATCTATTATTATTATTGTTGTTGTTGTTGTTGTTATTGCACTGTACTTGCCCTTACCTGCTCAGGAGGGAACCTGTTGCACCTATAAATATCTATTATTATTATTATTATTATTATTATTGTTGTTGTTGTTGTTATTGCACTATACTTGCCCTTACCTGCTCAGGAGGGAACCTGTTGCACCTATAAATATCTATTATTATTATTGTTGTTGTTGTTGTTGTTATTGCACTATACTTGCCCTTACCTGCTCAGGAGGGAACCTGTTGCACCTATAAATATCTATTATTATTGTTGTTGTTGTTGTTGTTGTTGTTGTTATTGCACTGTACTTGCCCTTACCTGCTCAGGAGGGAACCTGTTGCACCTATAAATATCTATTATTATTATTATTATTATTATTATTATTATTATTATTATTGTTGTTGTTGTTATTGCACTATACTTGCCCTTACCTGCTCAGGAGGGAACCTGTTGCACCTATAAATATCTATTATTATTATTGTTGTTGTTGTTGTTGTTATTGCACTATACTTGCCCTTACCTGCTCAGGAGGGAACCTGTTGCACCTATAAATATCTATTATTATTATTGTTGTTGTTGTTGTTGTTATTGCACTGTACTTGCCCTTACCTGCTCAGGAGGGAACCTGTTGCACCTATAAATATCTATTATTATTATTATTATTATTATTATTATTATTGTTGTTGTTGTTGTTGTTATTGCACTATACTTGCCCTTACCTGCTCAGGAGGGAACCTGTTGCACCTATAAATATCTATTATTATTATTGTTGTTGTTGTTGTTGTTATTGCACTATACTTGCCCTTACCTGCTCAGGAGGGAACCTGTTGCACCTATAAATATCTATTATTATTATTGTTGTTGTTGTTGTTGTTATTGCACTGTACTTGCCCTTACCTGCTCAGGAGGGAACCTGTTGCACCTATAAATATCTATTCTTATTATTATTATTATTATTATTATTATTATTATTATTTTGTTGTTGTTGTTATTGCACTATACTTGCCCTTACCTGCTCAGGAGGGAACCTGTTGCACCTATAAATATCTATTATTATTATTGTTGTTGTTGTTGTTGTTATTGCACTATACTTGCCCTTACCTGCTCAGGAGGGAACCTGTTGCACCTATAAATATCTATTATTATTATTGTTGTTGTTGTTGTTGTTATTGCACTATACTTGCCCTTACCTGCTCAGGAGGGAACCTGTTGCACCTATAAATATCTATTATTATTGTTGTTGTTGTTGTTGTTGTTATTGCACTATACTTGCCCTTACCTGCTCAGGAGGGAACCTGTTGCACCTATAAATATCTATTATTATTATTGTTGTTGTTGTTGTTGTTATTGCACTGTACTTGCCCTTACCTGCTCAGGAGGGAACCTGTTGCACCTATAAATATCTATTATTATTATTGTTGTTGTTGTTGTTGTTATTGCACTATACTTGCCCTTACCTGCTCAGGAGGGAACCTGTTGCACCTATAAATATCTATTATTATTATTGTTGTTGTTGTTGTTGTTATTGCACTGTACTTGCCCTTACCTGCTCAGGAGGGAACCTGTTGCACCTATAAATATCTATTATTATTATTGTTGTTGTTGTTGTTGTTATTGCACTATACTTGCCCTTACCTGCTCAGGAGGGAACCTGTTGCACCTATAAATATCTATTATTATTATTATTATTATTATTATTATTATTATTATTATTATTGTTGTTGTTGTTGTTGCACTATACTTGCCCTTACCTGCTCAACCTGCTGCACCAATTAATATTATAACTCATATTATGATGACTAATATTGCATATTTGTCCTTGCCTGCTCAAGATGGCACTGGCTGCACCAATAGCATGTATTAGTATTTTTATTATCTCAGGGCATTTGCTCTTGCAAACAACAACAACAACAACACTTAGATCTTCTGGAGAGTCCCTGCTCTCTATCCCACCGGCTTCCCAAGTGCGGCTGGTGGGAACGAGAGACAGGGCCTTTTCTGTGGTGGCCCCTCGGCTTTGGAACACCCTCCCTATAGAGATACGATCAGCCTCTTCGCTGATGGTGTTTCGGAAGAGATTAAAAACATGGTTGTGTAAACAAGCCTTCGGTTAGTTTGTTATCACCGAATTTTATGGACTAAGGACTGGTTAATTATGGATGACGAATTCTGGACTGTGATTTTAGTGACGAGATACATGGTATTATTATTGGTGGCCCAATAATTTGTATTGTCTATGTGTTGTTGTTTTAAATTGTATATTGTTTTTAATTGTTGTAAACCGCAATGAGTCGCCGACTTAGGCTGAGATATTAGCGGTATACAAGTGTATTAAATAAATAAATAAATAATAAACACTACTACAATTAGAAGAATACTAACAGACTCACTGGAGCCCTAAAGTGAGGCGGGCAATATCGCCACCTGGTGGTCAGTGCTAGGAATGCCCTCTTCTGCTCCACAAGGTCTCTCATTAGTATTAATTATCATGATTCTCATCATCATCACTGTCATCAGTGCTATAAACATCTATGGCCTCCCCAGGGCACCATATAAATAGTCAATTAATTATTAATATTCTTAATTTTTATTACTTGTGAATAATTAATTATATTATATTATATTAATAGTTAATAATTAATATTAATTATTAATATTATTATTAATATAACGAATATGGCTAATTTAATATAACTACATTATAATTAATATTAATATTTAATAGTCTAATAAGCATCCTATTAATTGATATTAATTAAATATTAATATTAATTAATATTAGTAATTAATATAAATAATTATTAATAGTTAATACTTAGTAGGCATCCTATTAATTAATATTAATTAAATATTAATATTAATAATATTAATAATTCAAGTAATCAATTATTAATAGTTAATAATGAATATTAATAATTAATATTATTGATATAACGAATATAGCTAATATAATATAACTAAATTATAATTAATATTAATATAATTAATATTTTGATTTTGATTGATGATTAATATTAATTAATGTTAATATTTAATTAATATTAATTAATAGACATCCTATTAATATTAATTAAATATTAACATTAATTAATATTAATAATCAATATAATTAATTATTAATAGTTAACAATTAATAGACATCCTATTAATTAATATAATTAATTATTAATAGTTAATGATTAATAAGCATTCTATTAATTAAAATTAATTAAATTTTAATATTAAGTAATATTAATAATTAATATAAATAATTATTAATAGTTAATGATTAATAGGTATCCTAACTATTAATAATTATTTATATAATATTAATAATTATTAATAGTTAGGATACCTATTAATCATTAACTATTAAAATTATTTATATTAATTATTAATATTAATTAATATTAAAATTTAATTAATTTTAATTAATATTAATAATTAATTTTAATAGTTAATGATTAATAGGTATTCTATTATTAATAATAATTAATTAATAATAATAATTAATCATAATAATTAGCAATTAGCAATGATTATTTAATTCTCCCTTAAACACAACATTAAGCACGCTTTGTTAATTTAGGAGAAGCCTGTACCTACTTAGAAATGAATTATTGTAATTAATATTAATTTCAGTTTTGTTTTGGGGTTTTTTTTAAGGGAGGGAAAAAGAATTAGCAGAGGATGGTTTCGATCCATCGACCTCTGGGTTATGGGCCCAGCACGCTTCCGCTGCGCCACTCTGCTCCATTGGAACTGCAGGCGGCTTAGGGAGCAGATAAGAGCGTTACACGTTCTACGCATGCGCACGTCGCTTGCAGTCATTTCCTTTGGACAGTCTCTTCTCCTAGGGAAGCACTGCGCATGCGCCCCTTTCGCCTCCTCTCAATCTCCTCCTAGTGAGGCACTGCGCATGCGCCCCTTTCGCCTCTTCTCTCAATCTCCTCCTAGTCAGGCACTGCGCATGCGCCCCTTTCTCTTCTCTCCGTCTCCTCCTAGTGAGGCACTGCGCATGCGTCCCTTTCTCCTTTCAATCTCCTCCTAGTCAGCCACTGCGCATGCGTCCCTTTCTCCTCTCAATCTCCTCCTAGTGAGGTACTGCGCATGCGTCCTTTTCTCTTCTCTCAATCATCTAGTGAGGTACTGCGCATGCGTCCCTTTCGTCTCCTCTCTCATCTCCTCCTAGTGAGGCACTGCGCATGCGCAGCTTTCTCTTCTCTCAATCTCCTAATGAGGCACTGCGCATGCGTCCCTTTCTCCTCTCACTCTCCTCCTAGTCAGCCACTGCGCATGCGTCCCTTTCTCCTCTCAATCTCCTCCTAGTGAGGTACTGCGCATGCGTCCTTTTCCTCTTCTCGCAATCATCTAGTGAGGTACTGCGCATGCGTCCCTTTCGTCTCCTCTCTCATCTCCTCCTAGTGAGGCACTGCGCATGCGCCGCTTTATCTCCCTCTCCTCCTAGTGAGACACTGCGCATGCGCCCCTTTCTCTTCTCTCCCTCCCCTCCTAGTGAGGCGCTGCGCATGCGCCCCTTTCTCCTCCTCTCTCCTTCCTCCTATTGGCCAACGAGGAGAAAAAGAGAAAAGGGGGTGGGGATATGGGGCACGCGCGCGGCCTGATTGATAGGCCCAGAAGCCAATAAAATCACAGAACCTGAAAGAAGGGGCGGGGAAAGAAGAGGAACGCGAGAAAGGGATTGGCCTGATTGATAGGCCCAGAAGCCAATAAAATCACAGAACCTGAAAGAAGGGGCGGGGAAAGAAGAGGAACGCGAGAAAGGGATTGGTTGGAAGGTTAGGAACCTACCGCGGCGGGTTTTACTCACTTGGGAAGACCAATCGGGTCGACGCTTCTTGCGAGGTGGACAAAGGCGGCGGCGAAAGAGCGGGCCGGGCGGTTATTCTTCGGGGACGGTCTTCAGGAGAGGAAGAGGCGCTTTGCGGACTCGGAACGGTTCTCACTGGAAGGAAGCATGAGGTAAACAGAGGGAGAAGTCAGAGAGATAATAGAAATAGGGAAATATACACATTATCATATGTATATTATTATTATATTATAATATTTAATTTAATGAATATATTATTATATGTATATATATGATATTATTATATTATAATGATATGTAATTAATTTAATATATAGAATATTATATATATATAATATTATATTATAATATTTAATTTAATATATATATGAGATATATAATGTTATATCTATATATATTAAATTGTATTAATAATATATATGATATATATATATTAAATTAATATATTATAACGGAATATAATACTAAATATACAATATTAGAGAAGGCAGAGAGAGATAGAAATATGGAAATATACATATTATATGTATGTATATTATTATAATTATAATATAATATATAATTTAATAAATATTATATTATATGTATATATATATTATAATATTATAATAATATTTAATTTAATATATATATATATAATATTATATCTATATATTATAATATAATTAAATATTATATATATAATATTTAATAATATTATATATTATATGTATATATATATATTATAATATTATAATAATATTTAATTTAATATATATATGATATATAATATATCTACATATATATAATATATATAATATCTATATTAATATAATATAGATATAACATTATATATATATAAAATTAATATATTATAACGTAATATAATACTAAATGTTATACAATATTAAATATAATATATATATATTATATGAAAATTATATATTTATTTAATATATATGAGATAAATAAAATGCTATATATATTATTTAATATTGTATAATGTGTAATATATAGATAATATAAATATAATATAAATATTATAGATAATGGGTCTATATTATCTATATATTATCTATATTATAGATAATATAGAGATTATTTATATTATAGATAACATAATTATCTATATTATTTATATTATTGATAATATAGATATAATATAATATATCCATAATATAATATATATATCTATAATATTAGGAAATCTCCAATATCAAGTCCCAGAAGCACTTTATTAGAATTAAGACTGACGCACACTGCACTTGTCCTACAATAGCACCTGTCACATCAGCACTTTTTAATTCTGTACCCTTTTACTCAGGCCCGGCCCAGTTTTATCTTGTTGATGTACTGTTTATTGCTTGTGGCTTGTTGTTTTAATACTGCTTTAATTGTTTTAATTTTACTTTAGGTGTATTGTTATGTTTGTGTATTGAGGCCTTGGCCTTTGTAAGCTGCATCAAGTCCTGCGGGAGATGCTAGCGGGGTACAAATAAAGTTTAATAATAATAATAATAATAATATATCTTACACACGCATATTAAATATTATATGATATTAAATATTACATTATTTATTTAATTTTATTTAATATATTATAGATAATCAATATACTTAATGCTATATATATATATATTATATGCACAGAATATATAAAAGCATTACATCACCATATATATACATTGTTATACTTATATAATTTTAAATACTGTATAATATTTAATACTGTATATATATGTGTGTGTGGGTGTAATATACCTATATTATCTATATATTACATATTATACAATATTAAATATTACATAAATATGATATAAACATATATGTTGTTTTATTTAATGCCTTTATACTTTGCATATATATATAGTATATAATATACATACTCAATATATGTATTTAATGCTATATATATATATATATATATATATATATAATGAACAGAATATATAAAGGCATTAAAACACCACATATATATTTATATGTATGTAATATTTAATATTGTATAATATTTAATACTGTGTATGTGTGTGTGTGTAATATGTTATATTTATGTTATCTATATATTACATATTATACAATATTAAATATTACATAACTATAATAAAATATATAGCGTTTTAATACCTTTATATATTCTGTGCATATATATATAATATATTATAGATGCTCAATATATTTAAGTATTTATGTAATACATAGATAATATAGATATAATATATTATACACACTTATATATACAGTATTAAATATTATACAATATTAAATATTATAAATATATAATATAAACATATATATGGTGTTTTATTTAATGCCTTTATATATTCTGTGCAATATTATAGATGCTCAATATATTTAATGCTATGTGTGTGTGTGTATATATAATGCACAGAATATATAAAGGCATTAAAACACTATATATACACATACATACATCATATTTGTATAACATTTGATATTGTATAATATTTAACACTATATATATTGTGTGGGTGTAATATATATCTATATTATCTATATATTACATATTATGCAATATTAAATATTACATAAATATAATATTAACATATATATGGTGTTTTATTTAATGCCTTTATATATTCTGTGCTCTCTCTATATATATAGCATTAAATATATTGAATGTCTATATCTATCTTTCTATACGCATCTATCTATATATATATATATTGTGGCAGAGGCCTCCTGCCTCCACAAACATAATACTGGCAGGATTTGGGGGTGCCTGCCCTTGGCATATGGGACTTGTAGTTGACCCTTATCCAGAGAGAACTGAACCCAGCTGACGACGGATCTGGACCTCACTTGACATGCAGACGCAGCATGGCCAGCTGGTTTGGGGAGGATTGACCCATGATTCTGGGAACTGTAGTTCTCCCACATTTTCTAATGGGAGCATTCCTAAAAAACGAAATCTCATTCTGGCATTTTTCCTAATTAACAGGGGCGATAGAGGCCGTGGTCGTGGAGGGCGCTTTGGCTCTCGCGGAGGCCCTGGCAGTGGGTAAGTACCAGAGATTGTGTGTGTGTGTTTGTGTGAGAGAGAGAGACAGTCCTCGAGTAGCACCTCCATCTTTGTTTGTGTCTATGGGAGTCGTAGTTTGGTGAGGCACACGCACTTTGGCAGAGAAGGCTAAAGCCCTTCAGCTACGACCCAGGATTCCGTAGCATAGAGCCGCGACGGTGAAAGTGGTGTCGAGCTGCATTAATAATACAGTGTGGACACACCCCTTGAAAGCTTGACAGCTTGATCTGTGCTGTCAGTGTAGTTTTCCATGACCTCGAAAGTGTGCTGTATCTGGGACAGTGGGAATTTAACCCTGCAAGCTTTAGGTATTTCTTCTGTGGCTCGGCTGCTGTTGCGCATGTTGTGTTGTTTTGCGATGTCCTTTTATAGATGTCTTTGACTTGGTTGTGCCCTGCTTTGAGCCCAAAGGAGAGGCGAGGAATAAATAGAATTATTGTTATTGTTACGTGCCTTGTGCTGGATCTACACTATCCTACATCCCAGGATATGATCCCAGATTATTTGGCCATGTAGACATATATAATCCAGTTCAAAGCAGATAATTTTGGATAATATCCTGGGATATAGGACAATATAAATCCAGCCTTGCCCTGGGGTTTCAGCAGGAATGAAATTGAAACGCACTCTTTTCCCTGTCGCCTTGTGTTTCAGGTTCCGGCCCTTTGTGCCTCACATCCCTTTTGACTTCTATGTGGTAAGTCGCCTTTGAAAAGTGCCCTCCGGGTTTGTTTTATTTATTTATTTACCGTATTATACTCGAGTATAAGCCGACCCAAATATAAGCCGAGGCACCTGATTTTACCACAAAAAACTGGGGAAACTTATTGACTCGAGCATAAGCCGAGGGTGGGAAATTCAGCCGCTATGGGTCTGTTTCAAAATAAAAATAGATACCAATAAAATTACATTAATTAAAGCATCAGTAGGTTGAATGTTTATTAATATTTACATAAAACTGTAAGATAAGACTGTCCAACTCTGACTAATCCGTTTTTCTAACTTTCGTCAATGTACATGTGTTTACGTATCCTTCCAATAATAATAGAGTAAAATAATAAATGTAATAATAATAAACTTAACCTATAAATGTAGTAATAATAATAATAATAATAATAGAGTATTTATTTATTTATTTATCGTGTCAGGGGCAACTAGACCATTGTATTACATTTCTAACAGAACAAAACAAACAAACAGATAAACACAAAATTTGCAAGCTTGGTAGTTGATTAAATGTCCTTTGACCAGTATCTGGCCCCTTGGAGTGCCTCTGGTGTTGCCAATAATATAAGTAAAATAATAAATAATCTTGACTCGAGTATAAGCCGAGGGGAGCTTTTTCAGCCTAAAAAAAGGGTTGAAAAACTAGGCTTATACTCGAGTATATATAGTATTTATTTGCAACATTTATATCCCGCTCTTCTCACCCCGAAGGGGACTCAGAGCGGTATACAAGTAATATGTAAATACAATATATTGTATTATTACCATATAATGTAATATACAGTGTTCCCTCACTTATCGCTGGTGTTACGTTCCAGGACCACCCGCGAAAAATGAAAATCCATGAAATATAGGGATGCTATATTTATTTTAGTAGTTATATATTATTTTAATAGTTATACACTAAGCAGCTTACAAGTAATAAGTAAATACAGTATATTATTACCATATAATATACAGTGTTCCCTCACTTATCGCTGGTGTTACTACCCGCGAAAAATGAAAATCTGCGAAGTAGGGACACTATATTTATTTTAATATTTATACATTATTTTAGTAGCTATTTTAAGTCTTTATAAACCTTCCCCACACACTTATACACTACATAACCCTCCTTGAATGTGTTGTTCACGTAATCCTCAGCTCCGGCTTTATCCGCAGAGCCAGCTTCTCCATACAGACAAACGCTCTTAAGTCCATATTGAAAAAGCAAGTCCGCGAAAAGCGAACCATGAAGTAGCAAGGGACCACTGTATTATTACCATAGCACAATATTCGTATTATATATTACTATATATACTATAATATTAATCTTAAGTCCATATTGAAAAACCATGAAAAAGCGAGTCCGCGAAAAGCGAACCACAAAGTAGCGAGGGACCACTGTATTATTACCATAGCACAATATTAGTATTATATAATACTATATATAATATAGTAATCTTAAACCACGAAGTAGCGAGGGACCACTGTATTATTGCCATAGCACAATATTAGTATTATACATTACTATATATTATATAATATTAATCTTAAGTCCATATTGAAAAACCACGAAAAGCGAGTCCGTGAAAAGCGAACTGCGAAGTAGCGAGGGACCACTGTATTATTACCATAGCACAATATTAGTATTATATATTACTATATATAATATAATATTATATATTACTATGTTGTACTGTAACATTATACTGCAATATTATTAGTAATATTACATGTAATATAAAATATATAATTATAGTATATTACCATAGAACAATATTAGTATTATATATTACTATATATAATATATTATATATCTATATAATATATATTATTATATTGTACTATAACAGTATACTGTAATATTATTAGTAATATTACATGTAATATAAAATATATAATTATAGTATATTACCATAGAACAATATTAGTATTATATATTACTATATATAATATTATATTATATATCTATATAATATAATATATTATTATATTGTACTATAACAGTATACTGTAATATTATTAGTAATATTTCATGTAATATAAAATATATAATTATAATGTCTTATATTGCATTATATTATAATCAAGTTTGCAGTTAGCTTTCAATTGAACATTAGCAAGAACTTTTGGGACACTGAGTGTGGTTTGTAGTAGAACCAATTGCGTAAAGAGATGATACGAGTCTCATTCTCTGGACACCTTTGAAAGGATCCTGGGGAGCTACCTGCTCAGTTGGGGTTCCTCAGCTGGAGTCTGTGGCCTGTGGGGTCCCTCTCAATGCACTGGGGTGGGATTGGAAAACATGAGAAGCAGGTTGCACCAGCCTAAGGATGCTGATCCCCTGGTTGTTCTCCCTTCTTCAGTGTGAGATGGCTTTCCCTCGTGTGAAACCCGCTCCGGATGAGACGGCCTTCAGCGAAGCCTTGCTGAAGAGGAACCAGGACCTCGCTCCGACGTCTGCCGAACAGGTGAAAAGGAGTCTTACCTCTTTCAGAGTCAAAATGATGTTGACTGGAAATATCTTTCCATCTTTGGGTTTGTCAGGTTGTCTTTGGATCAGCCCGCTCAGCTTCCGAGTCTATTTATTTTATTATGCCAGCCAGGGCAGGTGTACTCAGCAGTTGAGTCAGACAAGGCCAGGGCTGATGTTCTTACTAATTTTGGGTCTGCACCCCATGCGCTGCCAGTATCTTTCCACAGGATGTTATTGCATGAGGCTACTTTGTGCTTGGTGGGCATAACAGTGTTTCCTAAATGTTAGTGTGTGATCTAAAGTGATGCTGAAATATTTAGAGTGGGAACAGTGTTCGAGCTCTTGCCCTTCCCAGGTCACTTTCAATTCCCTTGGTTGTTGTAGGTTTTTCAGGCTAAATTGCCATGTTTTAGAAGCATTCTCTCCTGACATTTCATCTGCATCTATGGCAGGCATCCTCAGAGGTTGTGAGGTTGTGTGACCTCACAACCTCTGACGATACCTGCCATAGATGCCATAGACCTCACAACTTCTGAAGATGCCTGCTATACACCTCGCAACCTCTGACGATACCTGTCATAGATGCCATAGACCTCACAACTTCTGAAGATGCCTGCTATAGACCTCACAACCTCTGACAATGCCTGCCATAGGTGCCATAGACCTCACAGCTTCTGAAGATGCCTGCTATAGATCTCACAATCTCTGACAATGCCTGCCACAGATGCCATAGACCTCACAACCTCTGAGGATGCCTGCTATAGGTGCCATAAACCTCACAACTTCTGAAGATGCCTGCCCTAGACCTCACAACCTCTGAGGATGCCTGCCATAGATGCCATAGATCTTACAGCCTCTGAAGGTGCCTGCCCTAGACCTCACAACCTCTGAGGATATCTGCCCTAGACCTCATAACCTCTGAGGATAGATACCATAGACCTCACAACCTCTGAGGATACTTGCCATAGATGCCGTAGACCTCACAACCTCTGTAGGTGCATGCCATAGGTGCCCTAGTCTTCACAACCTCTGAGGATGCCTGCCATAGATGCCATAAACCTCACAACTTCTGAAGATGCCTGCCCTAGACCTCACAACCTCTGAGGATGCCTGCCATAGATGCCATAGATCTTACAGCCTCTGAAGGTGCCTGCCCTAGACCTCATAACCTCTGAGGATAGATACCATAGACCTCACAACCTCTGAGGATACTTGCCATAGATGCCGTAGACCTCACAACCTCTGAAGGTGCCTGTCCTAGACCTCCCAACCTCTGAGGATACCAGCCATAGATGCCATAGACCTCACAACCTCTGACAATGCCTGCTCTAGACCTCACAACCTCTGAGGATGCCTGCCATGGATGTAGGCGAAATGTCAGGAGAGAATGCTTCTAGAACACGGCCAAAAAACCTACAAGAACCCAGTGATTCCGGCCATGAAAGCCTTCGACAATACATTTTTTCAGTTTCCTGTTGGCTTCACGGTTACATAGATGGAAAGCACACACTTTTGTCTTGGGAGGGTTCGGTTTCAGGTGGTTCTCTTTGAAGTAGCTGGAGAGATCTTTCAGGCATTCGGAAGTTGGTTTTCGACTGTTTTGGAGTCTTTTGCTTGTGTTGTTAGGACAAGGTCATCAGCGTATAGAAAGCTCTTTGTGAGTGGTGGCTCAGAAAGGTGAAATCCTTTTTACCAAGGACGCAGTCATTTAGTGACTTCTCGGTTTTGCTCCTGCTAGGCGTCTATCCTTTCTCTGGTGACCAAGATTAACAACGTGATTGATAACTTGATCGTTGCTCCAGGGACGTTTGAAGTGGTGAGTCCTCCATCTCAAAGAGAAGGGGTTGGGATTGTATTCTTGGTTTGTGGGAGCCCGGCATCCAAATGCCAAGTCTCCTAACGGCTCCGTGAATCCTTCTCCTTCCCAGCAAATCGAGGAGGTCCGCCAAGTGGGGTCCTACAAGAAAGGCACCATGATGACGGGCCACAACGTGGCAGACCTGGTTGTGATCCTGAAAATCTTGCCCACGCGTAAGTGCCTCCCTTTCCGTCCCAAGGGGAGAAGATAGGCTGGAGCTTGAGAACATTCTTGTACGGGTATTGACTTCCGTTTCCTTCCCCAGTGGAAGCCGTGGCTGCCTTGGGAAACAAAGTGGTGGAGAGCCTGAGGACGCAGGATCCGGCCGAAGGTTGGTTCCGCTCTCTTCTGCTATGTATTTTTAGTGCACAAAGTGCCACACGTTTACAGGGTTCTCTCATTGTGTGCCAAGTTTGGTCCAGATCTATCATCATTGAGGTTCACAGGGTCTTCTGGATATGAGATGAACTACAACTCCCATCATTCTCCAGCTCCAGTGGGTTTTTTGAACCAATTTTGATCCAGATCCATCATTGTTGAGGTTCACAGGGCTCTCTAAATGTGGGGTGAACTACAACTCCCATCATTCTCCAACTCCAGTGGTTTTTTTATGCCAGGTTTCCTCCAGATCCATCATAGTTGAGGTTCACAGGGCTCTCTAGATGTGGGGTGAACTATAACTCCCATCATTCTCCAACTCCAGTGGGTTTGTGTGCCAAGTTTAGTCCAGATCCATCATTGTTGAGGTTCGCAGAGCTCCCTAGATATGGGATGAACTACAACTCCCATCATGCTCCAACTCCAGTGGGTTTCTTGGTGCCAAGTTTGGTCCAAATCTATCATTGAGGTTCACAGGGCCCTCTAGATATAAGATGAACTACAACTCTCAACATTCTCCAACTGCAGTGAGTTTTTTGTGCCAAGTTTGGTCCAGATCCATCATCGTTGAGGTTCACACGGCTCTCTAGATGTGGGGTGAACTGGGGGTTTTTGTGCCAAGTTTGGCCCAGATCGATCATTGAGGTTCACAGGGCCTTCTGGATAGGGAATGAACTACAACTCCCATCATTCTCCAACTCCAGTGGGTTTTTTTCTACCAAGTTTGGTCCAAATCTATCATCATTGAGATTCACAGGGCCTCTGGTTGATCTACAACTCCCATCATTCTCCAACTCCAGTTTTTGTGCCAGGTTTGGTTCAGATCCATCATCGTTGAGGTTTGCAGGACTCTCTAGATATGGGATGAACTACAACTCCCATCATTCTCCAACTCCAGTGGGGTTTCTTGTGCCAAGTTTGGTCCAGATCTCTCATTGGTAGGAGTCACAGGAAAGGCCTCGCCCAGGATCCTGGATGAGCCCCCAAGAAAAGCCTCGCCCAGGATCCTGGACGAGGCCTTTGAATTGTGGATATTATTGAACGCCAGCTCCCATCACAGTGCGGCCTGGGGATAATGGGAATGGCAACCCAACAGTCCTTGTGGCCCACTCCAAAGAAAAAGGGAGCATTCCCTGGGTCTGCTTGACTCAGAATTAATGGAACGTTTAAGCCTAGAGAACCATTTTTTACTACCTTGAATACCTCTGAGACTAAAATAAAGCCAAAACAAAAGTGTGTAGGGAAGTATTGAGATCTCTGCCACTGTTGTTATTATTCTTCCTCCGCAGTGCTGACCATGCTCACCAACGAGACGGGTTTTGAGATCAGCTCTGCCGACGCGACCGTGAAGATCCTCATCACCACGGTGCCCCCCAACCTCCGCAAACTGGACCCAGAGCTGCACTGTAAGGCCACGGAGCCACGGCGGTCTTCTCTTGGGGTGGGGCAGGGAGGCGTGGAGGCCCGGGCATAAACTACAGAGCTGGGTGTAAGGGCATTCCCGCCTGGATTTGGATCCCGACGTCCCTCTTTTATTCTCTCCCCTGATTAGTGGATATTAAAGTCCTGCAGAGCGCTTTGGCAGCGATCCGGCACGCCCGCTGGTTCGAGGAGAACGCCTCTCAGTCCACGTAGGTCTCCGTTTCTCTTGGGTTTACTCTCCAGTTAGACCACGGTGGGCATACATATGGGGACGCTCTCATGGTTGTCATGACAGAGGTGGTTCCACCATTTACTTGTGTCTGGTATTTGGAGATACAATAATCTGTTATAGAGGCTGCATGAAAGTTACGTGTCTTTGTCTTCTCTTATTCTTCATATCCCACTGAAAGCGTCTCAGTGTGAAACCAAAACAATATAATTGCAAACGTAAACATGTACAGAAATTAAAATAGAATTAAATATTAACACATTGGGAAGAAACTCCTGAGAGCTGTTCAACAGTGGAATTCTCTGCTTGCTTTATTTATTTATTTGCAGTATTTATATTCTGCCCTTCTCAAACCTCCTGAGAGCTATTCAACAGTGGAACCCTCTGCTTTGTTTATGTATTTGTAGTATATTCTGCCCTTCTTGAACCTCCTGAGAGCTGTTCCACAGTGGAACTCTCTGCTTTATTTATATATTTGCAGTATTTATATTCAGCTCTTCTCAAACCTCCTGAGAGCTGTTCAACAGTGGAACCCTCTGCTTTGTTTATGTATTTGTAGTATATTCTGCCCTTCTCGAACCTCCTGACTGAGAGCTGTTCAACAGTGGAACTCCCTGCTTTATTTATTTATTCATTTGCAGTATTTATATTTTGCCCTTCTCAAACCTCCTGATTGAGAGCTGTTCAACAGTGGAACTCACTGCTTTGTTTATTTATGTATTTGTAGTATTTATATTCTGTCCTTCTCGAGCCTCCTGAGAGCTGTTCAACAGTGGAACTCTCTGCTTGATTTATTTATTTACAGTATTTATATTCTGCCCTTCTCGCCCCACGAGGCAGATTACAATGCGCATAAACATGGCAAACATTCGATGCCATTTAGACATGCAACATATACAGACAGACACAGAGGCAATTTAGCATTCCAGCTTCATGAGGGTAGGCTCGATTCCATCCACAGGGGGAGCTTCCACTTCACCATCCACGTGTGACACTTTGATGGAGTACTTCCTCATTCTTACGCACACTACTGCGAGGTTTTATGGCGTCGTAAATTAGTTAAATTAACTTCTCCACATAAAGCGGTACCTAAATTTCCTACTTGACGGATGCAACTGTTTTTCGGGCTGCATAGGTCCACAGCAAGCTAGACTATTAATAGTCGGAGTGAGCTTCGAGCTTGTGACCTCTCGGTCAGTAGTGACTAAATGCAACTGCTACTAACTAGCTGTGCCACAGCCCAGTCATTAAAATAGAATTAAATATTAACATATTAGGAAGAGCCTCCTGACTGCGAGGTGTTCAACAGTGGAACTCTCTGCTTTAGAGTCCAGTAAAACCTCCTGCTTTATTCTTTCAGCGTGAAGGTCTTAATCCGCCTGCTGAAGGACCTCCGGATGCGCTTCCCGGGCTTCGAGCCCCTCACGCCTTGGATCCTCGACCTCCTGGTACGTGAAAGGCGCAGGGGTCGGGGAGAGAACTCTTCTTTGGTTGCTTCTCTCTCTCACGCTGTCTCTGGAGACTTCTACTCTTGGCGTGCTTTCCGAGAGGTCACCAACGCTCTCGTGTTGTGTTTCAGGGGCATTACGCCGTGATGAACAACCCGACCCGGCAGCCTTTGGCACTCAATGTGGCCTACAGGTAGGACAAAGCCACAGAAGTGGGAATAGTATTGCCTTACTATAGCTTAAAATAAATGGGGGAAACATGTTATATAATCAGCAGATGTTGAGTTTCACGAAGTGTTTGCCAGACTTGTACATTTGAACATATACTAAATGTCAGATATCATCTGCGCATGTGCGGGAAGGTTGATTCTGCGCTATATATACTGGACAAATTGAGACTTGAAGGTGTGACCGCCCTTTGGAAGCTGTTCACCCTGTTTTCTGCAGAAATAGTAAAAGCCTGGAAATCGAGATGCTGTCTCCATTCTCTTCCTTCTTCTAATGCACTCGAATGAACTACTGGGTAACGTATGCCGCAACAAGGGAAGTTGGAATGTTCACTCAAAATATATTCCTAATCTCAGGCGCTGCCTCCAGATCTTGGCCGCAGGGCTCTTCCTCCCCGGATCGGTCGGCATCACCGACCCCTGCGAGAGCGGCAACTTCCGGGTCCATACAGTCATGACCCTGGAGCAGCAGGTAAGGCCCTCCTCTGGCTTTTGACCGTGGTGAGATGGACAGTGCAATGGGGCTGGAGAGGGTCTGAGAAACGGCCTGTATGTGGGTCACCCCTCTGCCTTTCTTTCCGGGTCTGCTAGGACATGGTTTGCTACACGGCCCAGACTCTGGTCCGCATCCTCTCTCACGGCGGATACCGGAAGATCCTTGGCCAAGAAGGGGACGCCAACTGTAAGTAGGAGCTGCAGGAAGTGGCCAAAGGCATGGGGAGGTGTTCCTTATGTAGGGCAAGGTCATAATTGCTTCTGCTCCTACTCAAGAGCAGAGTGTGGTGATGCAAGTAATACCCTTTTCAACCTGATCTGCCATATTTCATCGTATATTGGTCGCACGCCCATTTTCATGGCGGCAGAATGGGTATATTTATGTTCTTCACATAATAGTCGCAGCACCATTTGGAGCTGTTTCTTCCTTTTATCCATCCATCCATCCTTCATCTCTCCTTCTATCCCTTCCATCCTTCTATCCCTTCCTTCTTTTCCATTCTGGCAGAATGGGTATATTTGTGTTCTTCACATAATAGTCACAGCACCATTTGGGGCTGATTCTTCCTTTCATCCATCCGTTCTCCCATCTCTCCTTCTATCCCTTCCATCCTTCTATCCCTTCTTCCTTCCATCCTCCTTTTCCATTCCGGCAGAATGGGTATATTTGTGTTCTTCACATAATAGTCGCAGCACCATTTGGGGCTGTTTCTTTTATCCATCCATCCTTCCATCTCTCCTTCTATCCCTTCCTTCCTTCCATCCTTTTCCATTGCAGCAGAATGGGTATATTTGTGTTCTTCACATAATAGTCGCAGCACCATTTCTTTTATCCATCCGTCCTTCCATCTCTCCTTCTATCCCTTCCATCCTTCTGCCCATCCTTCCTTCTCCAGGCAAGGCACTTTTATGATATGGAGGTCTCTGGAGCTCCACCTTTCCCTCCTTCCTCCAAAGAGTTCCATTTCACATTTTGTACACTGCCTTGCCTTTGGAGAAGGGAGAAAGTGGAAATCTTCCATCCTCCTTCGCCTGGATTTAAGACAGAAATGGAGCTGTTTGTTTGAAGCTAAATTATCATCCTTCCTCCTCCTTCAGAAACCAGAAAATCAATTGCAAAATTTTCCTCCCCAAAAACGATTTTTAAAATGTGACTATTACGTGAATTTTCTGCACAAAAAATGATTTTTAAAGTGCGAGTATTACGCAAGAAATTTTCTGCGGCAAAAGGGGGATTTTAAAAATGCAACTATTATGCAAAGAATTTGCTGCACAAAAATGATTCTTAAAATGCGACTATTACACGAGGAATTTTCTGTGCACAAAGGATTTTTAAAACGTGACTATTATGCGAAGATATACAGTAAGTGCTCCGAAAGGTCAACCGCACCTCTTTCTGGGCAGACTTGGCGACCGAAATGTCCACCTGGGACGGGGTGATTGTGACCCCGTCAGAGAAGGCCTACGAGAAGCCTCCCGAAAAGAAGGAAGGGGAGGAGGAGGAGGAGAACCAGGAGGAGACGCCGACTGGGGAGGAGGAGGAGAGCATGGAGACCCAGGAGTAGCAGCCACTCGCTCGGCAAGGTAGGAGTGGGCGCAGCAGAGGGAAACTGGGCATCTCCTTCCCCCAAAGGGCTGATTGCTGCCAAGGCTTCCCTTTTCCGAGGAGCAAGCTGTCTCCTTTCCACTAACCATGCCTTCCAAAACAGAGCCATCAGGGTGGGATTGCTCCTCGCGCTTCTTCCTCAGAGCTGGGGGTGTCTGAGAATTGACTCTGTTCTGTTTTTACTAAAAGTGAGTGCAAACGTACACACTCTTGGCTTGTGTCTTCCAGTGGGATTCTCCCTTCCCTTCATTACGTGATGGACGAACCAGCTGACGGAAGCCGTAGTTCAGGACCAAGCCTGTGTCCTCTCGTTATTTCTATGGTTGTTGTTTTTATAGTTCCCATTAAAATGGTGTTTGCCTTTGAAACGGGGTGACAGGCTCATTTTCATCAAGGGACGAATCAGGTTGCCTGATGCAAACTTTGGCTCGTCAGGTGTCTTGGACTCAAGATCCCGGACGAGCCCCCAGGAAAGGCTGAGTCCAGGATCCCGGACGAGCCCCCAAGAAAAGCCTCGCCCAGGATACTGGACGAGGCTTTTGAATTGTGGATATTATTGAACACCAGCTCCCATCACAGTGCGGCCTGGGGATAATGGGAATGGCAACCCAACAGTCCTTGTGGCCCACTCCAAAGAAAAAGGGAGCATTCCCTGGATCTGCTTGATTCTCGCAAGCATTGTATCGCCTTTCCTTCTGCCCTGAGCTTGAAAGGACCTCCTAGTAGTGCAGTGGGTTCAACCCTTGTGCCGACAGAACCAAAGACCAACAGGTTGGAGGTTCGAATTTGGGGATGAGCCCCATCTGTCAGCTCCAGCTCCCCATGCGGGGACATGAGAGACGCCTGCCACAAGAATGGGCAAACATCAAAATATTGAGATATTGACAAGCTGGAATGTGTCCAGAGGAGGGCGACTAAAATGATCAAGGGTCTGGAGAACAAGCCTTAAAGAGCTGGGCATGTTTAGCCTGAAGAAGAGAAGGCTGAGAGGAGATATGATGAGGGCCATGTATAAATATGTGAGATGAAGGCACAGGGAGGAAGAGGGAGCAAGCTTGTTTTCTGCTTCCCTGGAGAATAGGACGCAATGGAGCAATGGCTTCAAACTACAAGAGAGGAGATTCCATCTGAACATTAGGAAGAACTTCCTGACTGTGAGAGCCGTTCAGCAGTGGAACTCTCTGCCCCGGAGTGTGGTGGAGGCTCCTTCTTTGGAAGCTTTTAAGCAGAGGCTGGATGGCCATCTGTCAGGGGTGATTTGAATGCAATATTCCTGCTTCTTGGCAGAATGGGGTTGGACTGGATGGCCCATGAGGTCTCTTCCAACTCTTTGATTCTATGATTCTATGAAAACATCTGCCCTTGCAGACGGCCAATTCTCTCACACCAGAAGCGACTTGCAGAAGTGACATGAAAAAATAAAATGGGGCTGAACTGAAAGAAGGGAGTGAAAACGTTGGCTAGCAGTGGATTTTATTGCGGGAGGGAGAGGAGGAAGCAGTCTTCTCGTTCCTTGTACCCAGCTGCACCAACTCTGTGGCAGGAGCAAAACAAGGAAGCATTGGCGGGGCCATTGTCCCAACTTCGGGCAAAACACGGAGCGTTCCAGCACTGGCCTTGTCCTCCTTGCCACTCGATTCCCACCCAAGTGTGCCCTTGTCCCTGTGAATGGCAACGCTGCAATTGCAGCCCAGCGGCTCTGTCCATCTCCTTTGGCCCCGTCCTCACTTGGAGGGAGAGCCTTGTGGGTAGCTGCTCCCGGCCTCCAGCATGGCCTTCCTGCGAGCGGTTTCCTTCCCCACGTTGTGGTTGAGCCGCCTCAGCCGCTCCTGGAACAAACGAGGAAAGATTATTTCAACGACGGGCCTGTGTTTCACATTAGTGGGATTTATATATATCTGTGGAATGATGTGTAGGGTGGCAGAAAGAACTCTTGGTGGGAATGCTGCAATTGATCATCTTGATTAGCACTGAATGGCCTTGCAGCTTCAAGGCTTGGCTGCTTCCTGCCTGGGGGAATCCTTTGTTGGGAGGTGAGCACTTGATGAACCAGCCTGGGCATATTATTTGAGAACGCAAAAATGCAAGGCCATTCAATGCTACTTTGAAAACTACTTTGCAATGTATATAAGTACACAAAGTGTGTGAAGAATCAATCGGGGCCAGCTAATCGCCTCCCAACAAAGGATTCCCCCAGCAGGAAGCAGCCAAGCCTTGAAGCTGCAAGGCCATTCAATGCTAATTTGTAAATTGAACTTTGCAAAGTAAATAAGTACACAAAGTGTGTGAAGAATCAATCAGGGCCAGCTAATCACCTCCCAACAAAGGATTCCCCCAAGCAGGAAGCAGCCAAGCCTTGATGCTGCAAAGCTGCTCAATGCTAATCAAGATGCTCATTTGCAACGTAAATAAGTACACAAAATGTGTAAAGAATCAATCTGGGCCAGCTAATCACCTCCCAACAAAGGATTTCCCAAAGCAGGAAACAGCCAAGCCTTGAAGCTGCAGGGCTTTTCAATGCTAATCAAGATGCTCAATTGCAACGTAAATAAGTACACAAAGTGTGTGAAGAATCAATCAGGGCCAGCTAATCGCCTCCTAACAAAGGATTCCCCCAAGCAGGAAGCAGCCAAGCCTTGTAGCTGCAAGGCTTTTCAATGCTGATCAAGATGCTCAATTGCAGCATTCACACTCGCCTCCAACAGACCAGAGTTCTTTCTCCCACCCATTGATATATAAGCCCCATTTGCCTAGTTTCCAACAGACCTCACAACCTCTGATGCCTGCCATAGATGTGGAAGAAACGTCAGGAGAGAATGCTGCTGGAACATGGCCAGACAGCCCGGAAAACTCACAGCAACCCGGAAAACAACACTACTTTACATGAATTTTGTTCCTGGGTTATAAATGTCAATTTCTAATTGGTTCTATCATCGAAACATGGGGAAAGTTTACTAAACTGCAGAAATATCATCCAGAAGCACAATGAATGTCTCCTCATACAAAACAGAAGGTCTATTTCAGGCCTAGGCCCTCTAGGTGCTTTGGACTCCAACTCCCACCATTCCTAACAGCCTCAGGCCCTTTCCTTTTCCCCCAAGGAAGGGGCCTGAGGCTGTTAGGAATGGTGGGAGTTGGAGTCCAAAGCACCTGGAGGGCCCAACGTCCGCCCGCTCTCACCTGGGCATTCTGCAGGATGTTGTTTACCAGCACGACCCGGCGGCGGGCATTGAGCAGCTTCTTAACGTAGGGGTCCAGGTCCAGGGCCACCTTCTGGTCCTCCTTGATCCGACAGAGCTCTGGCAGGAGAGAGGACGGGGTCAGGAACCTCTCCCCGTTGACCTGCTCTGGTCTATGAGGCTGGGTGGCCATCTGTTGGGGGTGCTTTGATTGTGTTCCTGGGAGAAGGAGGTTGGACTAGATGCCCTTTAAGCGTCCCAACTCTAGGGGCCTTTGATTCTATATCTTTATTCCTCTATGAACCTGCTAAGATCTATTAGGCTGGGTGGCCATCTGTCAGGGCTGCTTTGATGGTGCTCCCTGGAAGAAGGGAGTCAGACCAGATGTCCTTGAGGGAGATTATGTTCCCTGGAAGGAGGGTTGGACTAGATATCCTTTGGGGGTCCCAACACTAGGAGACTTTGATACTATTACCCTATATTCGTCCATGAACCTGCTATGAGGCTGGATGGCCATCTGCCAGGGTTGCTTTGATTGTGCTCCCACGGTGATGGAGGTTGGACTAGATGTCCTTTAGGGGAATTCCCTTCCAACTATAGGAGCCATTGAACCCATCTCTCTATATTCCTCCATGAACCTGCTCAGGTCTATGAGTGTGGATGGCCATCTGTTGGGGCTGCTTTGATGGTGCTCCCTAGCAGAAAGGAGGTTAGGGTCCCAACTCTAGGAGCCTTTGATTCTATACCTATGAACCCACTTTCGTGGTCACTTCCAACTTCCACTTCCAACTTCCAAAGAGCCTTTGATACTATCTCCCTATATTCCTCCATGAACCTGCTCAGGTCTATGAGTGTGGATGGCCATCTGTCAGGGGTGCTTTGATGGTGTTCCCAGGGAGAAGGGGGCTGGACAGGATGTTTTTTAAGGGAAGTCTCTTCCAACTCTAGAAACTATTGATTCTATCTCCCTTCCATGAACCTGATGAGATGCGTGGGGCTGGATGGCCATCTGTCAGGGGTGCTTTGATGGTGCTCCCTGGGAGAAGGAGGTTGGACTAGATGCCCTTTAAGCGTCCCAACTCTAGGAGCCTTTGATTCTACCTCTCTCTGTTTCTCCATGAACTTGCCAAAGTGTATGAGTGTGGATGGCCATCTGTCGGGGCTGCTTTGATTGAGTTTCCAGGTAGAAAGGGCCTGGACTAGATGGTCCTTGAGAGGGATATTCCCTTCCAACTGTAGGAGCCTTTGACTCTATCTCCCTATATTCCTCCATGAACCTGCTTAAATCTATGAGTCTGGATGGCCATCTGTGAGGGATGCTTTGATTGTGTTCCCTGGGAGAAGGAGGTTGGACTAGATGCCTTTTAAGCGTCCCAAATCTAAGAGCCTTAGATACTATCTCCCTATATTCCTCCATGAACCTGCCAAAGTGTATGAGGCTGGATGGCCATCTGCCAGGAGTGTTTTGATGGTGTTCCCAAGGAGAAGGGGGTTGGACTAGATGTCCTTTAGGAGTTCCTTCCAACTTTAAGACCCTTTGATGCTATCTCCCTATATTTCTCCATAAACCTGCTGAAATCTATGAGTGTGGATGGCCATCTGCCGGGGTTGCTTTGATGGTGTTCCCAGGGAGGAGGGGGTCAGGCTAGATGTCCTGGGAGACTCTCACCTGCGGCCAGGCCGTCGATGTGTTCGCGCAGCTCCACTTGGCTCTCCCTGAAGGAGGAGGAGAAGGAGGAGAAAGAGCTTTGAGATGAAGCAGGCACCTCCAGGGGGTTTGGACTACAACTCCCACAATTCCTAACAGCCGGTAGGCTGTTAGGAATTGTGGGAGTTGTAGTCCAAACCCCCTGGAGGTAGGCCCCACGTTGGGCCTAGGCCGGGAAGCGAGTCCTGTTTGTACCTGACGGCGTGGACGTGGGAGTCGAGCTGCCTCACCGCCGGGCGGAGGAACTCCAGCAACCCCTCCGCGAACAGGTCCCGCGCCGACGGGCTGCACGGCGCCGAAGAAACCGACGACGCCATCGCTGAGGGGACGGATGTTGATGTTGTTGTTGTTTCGGCCGCCATTGCCGCCGGCCGCCTTCTTCTTCCCTTCCTTCCGGAATCGCCAAATCTCGCGAGAAGGAGCGCCCCCCGTTGTAGAGAACGGCGCGCACCGCACACATCTCGCGAGACTTCACTCCCCCGCCAAGCGCCTTCAACTCCCAGAAGCGTCGGAATGGCGAGAATTGTATAGAGAACGGCGAGCACCGCACACATCTCGCGAGACTTCACCCCTTCGCCAAGCGCCTTCAACTCCCAGAAGCGTCGGCCGGCCTCCTCAATGGCAAGGCATGCTGGGAGTTGAAGTCCAAAATGGAGTTATACTAAAGTATGTCTCCCTTTTAATACTTCTGAGGGTGATTAATAATAATAATAATAATAATAATAATAATAATAATAATGATAATAGGTTATTTATAATAATAATAATAATAATAATAATAATAATAATAATAACAATAATGATAAGTTATTTATAATAATAATAATAATAATAGGTTATTTATAATAATAATGATAATGATGATGATAATAGGTTATTTATAAAAATAATAATAATTATAATAATAGTAATAATAATAATAATAATAATGATAATAGGTTATTTATAATAATAATAATAATAGGTTATTTATAATAATAATAATAGGTTTTTAATAATAATAATAATAATGATAATAATAGGTTATTTATGATGATGATGATGATAATACTAGGTTACTTATAATAATAATGTTATTTATAATAATAATAATAATTATTATTTCATAGCATTTATGTTGCAAAATAATAGGTTATTTATAATAATGATGATGATGATAATAGGTTATTTATAATAATAATAATAATAATAATAATGATAATAATAGGTTATTTATTATAATAATGATGATGATAATAATAATAATAGGTTATTCATCATTATTATTATTTCATAGCATTTATGTTGCAAAATAATAGGTTATTTATAATAATAATAATAATAATGATAATAGATTATTTATAATAATAATAATAATAATGATAATAATAGGTTATTTATTATAATAATGATGATAATAATAATAATAGGTTATTTATCATTATTATTATTTCATAGCATTTATGTTGCAAAGTACACAAAGTTTACACATTAGCATGGAATGGCCTTGCAGCTTCAAGGCTTGGCTGCTTCCTGCTTGGGGGAATCCTTTTTTTGGGAGATGATGAGCTCGCCCTGATTATTCTTCACTCACTTTGTGTCCTTATTTATGTTGCAAGATACACCAAGTTTACAAATTAGCATGGAATGGTCTTGCAGTTTCAAAGCTTGGCTGCTTCCTGCTTGGGGGAACCCTTTGTTGGGAGGTGATTAGCTGGCCCTGATTGATTCTTCACACATTTTTTGTACTTATTGATGTACACAAAGTTTACAAATTAGCATGGAATGGCCTTGCAGCTTCAAGGCTTGGCTGCTTCCTGCTTGTTGGGAGGTGATGAGCTGGCCCTGATTGATTGTGTACTTATTTACATTGCAAAGTACACAAAGTTCACAAATTAGCATTGAATGGCCTTGCTGTTTCAAGGCTTGGCTGCTTCCTGCTTGGGGCAATCCTTTTTTTGGGAGGTGATTAACTGGCCCTGATTGATTCTTCACACTTTGTGTACTTACTGATGTTGCAAAGTACACAAAGTTTACAAATTAGCATTGAATGGCCTTGGCTGCTTTCCTGCTCGGGGGAAGGAACCCTTTAATAGGTGATTAGCTGGCCCTGATTTATTCTTCTCACACTTTGTGTACTTTGCAACATAAATGCCTCCATTCAGCTTTCTAATAACCATCAGAAGTATTAAAAGGGTGCATACCTTAGTATAGGACTGGAAGCCTGGATGGGTATCTCTTGGGAGAGCTTTGATGGTGCTTTTTCTGCCTGGAAGAAAGGGGTTTGGACTGGGTGGTCTTTGGAGGCCTCTTCCAGCTTGAATTCTGTAATAATGATGATGTTGATAAATGGGGTCTCCATCTCTGGAGGCTTTGAAGGATAGGATGGATGGGCACTGTTGGGAGTGCTTTGATTGTGCTTTTCCTGCCTGGTAGGAGGTTGGACTGGATGGCCTTTAGGACACTTTTCCAACCATGATTCTATAGTAATATTAATAATGGAGTCTCCTTCTCTGGAAACTTTGAAGCAAAGGTTGGAGGGACATCTGTTGGGGCTGCTTTGATGGTGCTTTCCTTACCTGGCAGAAAAAGTCCATCTGTTGGAAAGGATCGGATTGTGTAATCGTAGAATAGTGTCAGACTGGATGGCCTATGAGTGTCTCTTCTGACTAGCATTCGATTATCCTATAAGCCCTATTTTCCCATGAACGCTTATGAGGCTGGATGGACATCTGTTGGGAGGAATCGGACTGTGTCATGGTGGAATTGGCTCGGACTGGATGCCCTTTGGGTGTCTATTCCAACTCAAACATTTGATTATTCTATAAGCCCTATGTCCCCATGAATGCTTATGATGCTGAATGGCCATCTGTCAGGAGGAATCGGACTGTGTCATGGTGGAATGGGGTTGGACTGGATGGCCTTTGGCGGTCTCTTCCAACTCCAGCATTCGATTATTCTATAAGCCCCATTTCCCCCTGAATGCTTATGAGGCTGGATGGCTATCTGTCAGGAGGTTTAGATTGTGTCATGGGGTTGGACTGAATGGCCATCAGTCCATGTTATTCCATGAAAGAAGATGTCCTCATTGTAATGAGCTTGTCATTCCTTGGGGGGTTCCAGTGGGATCCCCTTCTCTGGAGGTTGGGTGTCCATCTGTCGGGAGGGCTTTGACTGTGTCTTCCTGCCTGGCAGAAGGGGGTCAGGATTCTAGTCTGACCCCCTTCTGCCAGGCAGGGAGACACAGTCAAAGCCCTCCCAACAGATGACCATCTCACCTCTAGAGAAGGGGGGGGGGTCCCTTCCAAGACTAGTGAAGTATAGACTGCTTGGGGTGGTTCCAAATGAATCCCCTTCTCTGGAGGTTGGGTGGCCATCTGTCAGGAGGGCTTTGATTGTGCCTTCCTGCCTGGCCAGAAGGGGGCCAGACTAGATGTCCTTTGGGGGTCCCTTCCAACACTAGTGAAATATAGACTGCTTGGGAGATTCTAGTGCAATCCCCTTCTCTGGAGGCTGGATGGCCATCTGTCAGGAGAGCTTTCACTGTGTCTTCCTACCTGGCAGAAGGGGGGTCAGACATCATGCCCTTTGGGAGGTGGGTCCCTTCCAACACTAGTGAAGTATAGACTGCTTGGGGGGCTTTCAAGAGGAATCCCCTTCTCTGGAGGTGAGATGGCCATCTGTCGGGAGGGCTTCACTGTGTCTTCCTGCCTGGCAGAAGGGGGTCAGACTAGATGCCCTCGGGGGGGGGGGGGGGGTCTCTTCTGCCCTTTCCCCTGAGCCCTTCCCTGTTTTCTTCCTCCTCGAGGCAGAGGTTTCCCATCGACAACACAAAGGACACAGACACACCAAAGCCAAGTTTCTCTCTCTTTTTTTCTTCCCTGCATTGGTTTCTTTACAGCAAAACAGAACGTACAAGATGTCGTTTTTTCGGAACGAGAACGGAAACGGCCGCGCTCACAACCCTCCCGGTCAGTCGGCGGGGAGAGACCGATCCCCCGGGGTTGGGAACACGGGAATGAAATCAACCGGCGACCAAAGCATGAGTGTCACAAACCAAAAAATAGAAAGCTGAGTCTGAGTCAAATCCACCGCCGAGAGGCATTTCCAACACAAAGCTGCGCAGCTTTCAAACCAACACAACAAAGCTGCCCCCGCCCCCCAAAAAACCATCACAAAGCGCCAACCGACGTGACTTTGCGACCGAATTGCCGCGTCGCACGGCTCATGATCAGCACCGAGAAAAGAAAACCGACATTTTGGAAATTTGGAAAGAGAAGGGGGACGGTAAATAAAGACCTGTCCAAATTCATTTCCGGAGTCCTTTTAAGAAATGTATACATATAAAAACACACACACGCGCACGCACATACACGCCCGGTTTCATACAACACAAAAGAGTATCAAAATGCCAAAGGAACACATGAATGGGGGGGTGAGCCCCTCTCGCTCCCCTCCGGCCGGGTCTGCGGGTCTTACGGGAGGGGGGCAGGCGGGCCTCGGCGTGCGGCGCGGACACCGCGGCGGTCAAGTGTCGGAGGGGCGGCGGCGTCAGTCGTTGGCTTCGGGGTCTGTCTGGGCCATGTAAGCGTCCAGCTCGGCGTCCAGGTGTCCCTTGGTCTTGGACATGTAGGCGTCCAGCTGGTTGTCCAGCTGCTCCTTGGTCAGCACTGGGCGGGCGACCCCTCTTCCGCGCCCTCGGCCTCGGCCCCGGCCCCCAAAGCCGCCTCTCCCACGCCCGGCTAGCCCTCGCCCTAGATGGAGAAACGGGAAAGGAAACCAATGGGTCGGGTCAGAATTCACCCTGGAAAGGTCAACAAAACCATACAATATTGTGAGGAATACAGCCTGTCCACCCACAGCCTTTTTCCCAAGCTGGCCTGAATGCAGAATAATAATAATAACAATAATAATACTTTATTTATACCCCGCCACCATCTCCCCAAGGGATACGGAGCGGCTTACATGAGGCCAAGCCCAACAACACATCAGTAAACAACACATCAGGGCCCCCTACAGAGAGAGGTCAACCCTCCTGTTCAAGGAGCTCCACTGGCTGCCGTTTATTTTCCGAGCCCAATTTAAGGTGCAGGTGCTTACCTACAAAGCCCTGAACGGTTTGGGACCACCCTATCTGCGAGACCGCATCACAGTCTACGAACCCACACGCTCGCTCCGGTCATCAGGAGAGGCCCTGCTCGTGATCCCACCCGCCTTGCTGGCGCGTTTGGTGGGGACGCGGGACAGGGCCTTCTCTGTGGTGGCCCCCCGCCTCTGGAATGCCCTCCCGAAAGATCTCAGACAGGCCCCCACCTTGGCGGTTTTCAGAAAAAACCTGAAAACCTGGCTGTTCCAACGTGCCTTCTCAGATTAGGAACCCCACTACCAAAGCCCAGAAGCACTTTAGCAGAGTCAAGATCACCCTCAACGCACACCGCACTTATACTTTAATCCCATATCCCTCCGACACTTCAGCACTTTTAACCCTGTACCCCACTCCGGCCGGCTCAGTTTTTAATAATGTCCTGTTGTATTGTTTTGCTATTGTTTTCTGCTTTAACTGTTTTATTTGCTATGTATTGTATTGTTGTATTGTGTTGTGCTGGGCTCCAGCCTGTTGTAAGCCGCATCGAATCCCTTGGGAGATGCTAGCGGGGTACAAATAAAGTTATAATAATAATAATAATAATAATTTTTTTATACCCTGCCACCATCTCCCCAAGGGGACTCGGAGCGGCTTACATGAGGCCAAGCCCAACAACACATCAGTAAACAACAACAACAACAATAATAATACTTTATTTATACCCCACCACCATCTCCCCAAAGGGACTCGGAGCGGCTTACATGAGGCCAAGTCCAACAACACATCAGTAAACAACAACAACAACAACAATAATAATAATAATAATAATAATAATAATAATAATCCCACAGCAACTTAATGATTCCGGCCACAAAAGCCTTCGACAAAACATTTTTCAGGTTCAAAAAGTATTCATCGCAATAGTAAACAAGGGATGTTGTAAAAAAGGTGAGAAAAACCAGAGAACGTGCAAAACACACTCATGCCAAGTTGGCATGACGCACACAAAGGAACGCGAGGCCTTTCCTCACCTCTTCCACCGATTCCTCCCCGGCCCATGGCTCCTCGGCTCAGGCCTCCTCTGCCCAGCCCGCCGCGGCCCCTCAGGCCTCCTCTTCTCAGGCCCATCCGAGGGGCCAGGCCTCGGCCTCCCCGGAGCAAGTTCTGACCTTTCGGGGAGAAGGTTTGGGAAAAAGGTGAATAAAGTGGCAACCTCATTTAAAAATACCAAAAACACACAGGAGGTTATTTTTAGATTGCTGATCATTACAAATCCCTATGTGACAAAACAGGTCTACATTCTACAACAACAATAATCAATAATCAATAATAATAATAATAATAATAATTACTGCTGCTCTGGGCCAGAGTGAAGAGTGAGGGGGCCAGGAAGAAAGTTCCACCTTGTCTCCTGCGCTGTGCTAATATAATATATTGTATATACATATAATATTGATACTATTATAATGTAATATAATATAATACTACTAATAATATTATAATAACTGCTGCTCTGGACCAGAGTGAAGAGAGAGGGGGCCAGGAAGACAGTTCCACCTTGTCTCCTGCACTGTGCTAATAATATAATATAATATAATATAATATAATATAATAATAATAATAATAACAACTGCTGCTCTGGGATCAGAGTGAAGAGAGGGGGCCAGGAAGAGTGTTCCTCTTTGTCTCCTGCACTGTGCTAATAATATAATATAATATAATATAATATAATATAATAATAATAATAATAACAACAACAACTGCTGCTCTGGGATCAGAGTGAAGAGAGGGGGCAGGAAGAGAGTTCCTCTTTGTCTCCTGCACTGTGCTAATAATATAATATAATATAATATAATATATAAAATAATAATAATAACAACAACTACTGCTCTGGGATCAGAGTGAAGAGAGGGGCCAGGAAGAGAGTTCCTCTTGTCTCCTGCACTGTGATAAATAATATAATATAATATAATATAATATAATATAATATAATATAATAATAATAATAAAAACAACTGCTGCTCTGGGATCAGAGTGAAGAGAGGGGGCCAGGAAGAGTGTTCCTCTTTGTCTCCTGCACTGTGCTATATAATATAATATAATATAATATAATATAATATAATATAATAATAATAATAATAACAACAACAACTGCTGCTCTGGGATCAGAGTGAAGAGAGGGGGCAGGAAGAGAGTTCCTCTTTGTCTCCTGCACTGTGCTAATAATATAATATAATATAATATAATAATAATAATAATAATAATAATAATAACAACAACTGCTGCTCTGGGATCAGAGTGAAGAGAGGGGGCAGGAAGAGAGTTCCTCTTTGTCTCCTGCACTGTGCTAATAATGTAATATAATATAATATAATATAATATAATAATAATAATAACAACAACAACTGCTGCTCTGGGATCAGAGTGAAGAGAGGGGGCCAGGAAGAGTGTTCCTCTTTGTCTCCTGCACTGTGCTAATAATGTAATATAATATAATATAATATAATAATAATAACAACAACAACTGCTGCTCTGGGATCAGAGTGAAGAGAGGGGGCAGGAAGAGAGTTCCTCTTTGTCTCCTGCACTGTGCTAATAATGTAATATAATATAATATAATATAATATAATATAATATAATATAATAATAATAATAATAACAACTGCTGCTCTGGGATCAGAGTGAAGAGAGGGGGCAGGAAGAGTGTTCCTCTTTGTCTCCTGCACTGTGCTAATAATGTAATATAATATAATATAATATAATATAATATAATATAATATAATATAATAATAATAACAACTGCTGCTCTGGGATCAGAGTGAAGAGAGGGGGCAGGAAGAGAGTTCCTCTTTGTCTCCTGCACTGTGCTAATAATGTAATATAATATAATATAATATAATATAATATAATAATAATAATAATAACAACTGCTGCTCTGGGATCAGAGTGAAGAGAGGGGGCAGGAAGAGTGTTCCTCTTTGTCTCCTGCACTGTGCTAATAATGTAATATAATATAATATAATATAATATAATATAATATAATATAATATAATAATAATAATAATAATAACAACTGCTGCTCTGGGATCAGAGTGAAGAGAGGGGGCCAGGAAGAGTGTTCCTCTTTGTCTCCTGCACTGTGCTAATAATATAATATAATATAATATAATATAATATAATATAATAATAATAATAATAACAACAACTGCTGCTCTGGGATCAGAGTGAAGAGAGGGGGCCAGGAAGAGTGTTCCTCTTTGTCTCCTGCACTGTGCTAATAATGTAATATAATATAATATAATATAATATAATAATAATAATAACAACAACAACTGCTGCTCTGGGATCAGAGTGAAGAGAGGGGGCAGGAAGAGAGTTCCATCTTGTCTCCTGCACAATAATATAATATAATATAATATAATATAATATAATAATAATAATAACAACTGCTGCTCTGGGATCAGAGTGAAGAGAGGGGGCAGGAAGAGTGTTCCTCTTTGTCTCCTGCACTGTGCTAATAATGTAATATAATATAATATAATATAATATAATATAATATAATATAATAATAATAATAATAATAACAACTGCTGCTCTGGGATCAGAGTGAAGAGAGGGGGCAGGAAGAGTGTTCCTCTTTGTCTCCTGCACTGTGCTAATAATGTAATATAATATAATATAATATAATATAATATAATATAATATAATATAATAATAATAATAATAACAACTGCTGCTCTGGGATCAGAGTGAAGAGAGGGGGCCAGGAAGAGTGTTCCTCTTTGTCTCCTGCACTGTGCTAATAATGTAATATAATATAATATAATATAATATAATATAATATAATATAATAATAATAATAATAACAACTGCTGCTCTGGGATCAGAGTGAAGAGAGGGGGCAGGAAGAGTGTTCCTCTTTGTCTCCTGCACTGTGCTAATAATGTAATATAATATAATATAATATAATATAATATAATATAATATAATAATAATAATAATAACAACTGCTGCTCTGGGATCAGAGTGAAGAGAGGGGGCCAGGAAGAGTGTTCCTCTTTGTCTCCTGCACTGTGCTAATAATGTAATATAATATAATATAATATAATATAATATAATATAATAATAATAATAATAACAACTGCTGCTCTGGGATCAGAGTGAAGAGAGGGGGCAGGAAGAGTGTTCCTCTTTGTCTCCTGCACTGTGCTAATAATGTAATATAATATAATATAATATAATATAATATAATATAATATAATAATAATAATAATAACAACTGCTGCTCTGGGATCAGAGTGAAGAGAGGGGGCCAGGAAGAGTGTTCCTCTTTGTCTCCTGCACTGTGCTAATAATGTAATATAATATAATATAATATAATATAATATAATATAATAATAATAATAATAATAATAACAACTGCTGCTCTGGGATCAGAGTGAAGAGAGGGGGCAGGAAGAGTGTTCCTCTTTGTCTCCTGCACTGTGCTAATAATGAATATAATATAATATAATATAATATAATATAATATAATATAATAATAATAATAATAACAACTGCTGCTCTGGGATCAGAGTGAAGAGAGGGGGCAGGAAGAGAGTTCCTCTTTGTCTCCTGCACTGTGCTAATAATGTAATATAATATAATATAATATAATAATAATAATAACAACAACTGCTGCTCTGGGATCAGAGTGAAGAGAGGGGGCCAGGAAGAGTGTTCCTCTTTGTCTCCTGCACTGTGCTAATAATGTAATATAATATAATATAATATAATATAATATAATAATAATAATAATAATAACAACAACAACTGCTGCTCTGGGATCAGAGTGAAGAGAGGGGGCAGGAAGAGTGTTCCTCTTTGTCTCCTGCACTGTGCTAATAATATAATATAATATAATATAATAATAATAATAATAACAACAACAACTGCTGCTCTGGGATCAGAGTGAAGAGAGGGGGCCAGGAAGAGAGTTCCTCTTTGTCTCCTGCACTGTGCTAATAATATAATATAATATAATATAATATAATAATAATAATAACAACAACAACTGCTGCTCTGGGATCAGAGTGAAGAGAGGGGGCCAGGAAGAGTGTTCCTCTTTGTCTCCTGCACTGTGCTAATAATGTAATATAATATAATATAATATAATATAATAATAATAACAACAACAACTGCTGCTCTGGGATCAGAGTGAAGAGAGGGGGCAGGAAGAGAGTTCCTCTTTGTCTCCTGCACTGTGCTAATAATATAATATAATATAATATAATAATAATAATAATAACAACAACTGCTGCTCTGGGATCAGAGTGAAGAGAGGGGGCAGGAAGAGAGTTCCTCTTTGTCTCCTGCACTGTGCTAATAATATAATATAATATAATATAATATAATATAATATAATATAATATAATATAATATAATAATAATAATAACAACAACAACAACTGCTGCTCTGGGATCAGAGTGAAGAGAGGGGTCCAGGAAGAGTGTGCCTCTTTGTCTCCTGCACTGTGCTAATATAATAATAAAACAACTGCTGCTCTGGGATCAGAGTGAAGAGAGGGGGCCAGGAAGAGTGTTCCTCTTTGTCTCCTGCACTGTGCTAATAATATAATATAATATAATATAATATAATAATAATAACAACAACAACTGCTGCTCTGGGATCAGAGTGAAGAGAGGGGGCAGGAAGAGAGTTCCTCTTTGTCTCCTGCACTGTGCTAATAATATAATATAATATAATATAATATAATAATAACAACAACAACAACAACAACTGCTGCTCTGGGATCAGAGTGAAGAGAGTGGGCAGGAAGAGAGTTCCTCTTTGTCTCCTGCACTGTGCTAATAATATAATATAATATAATATAATAATAATAATAATAACAACAACTGCTGCTCTGGGATCAGAGTGAAGAGAGGGGGCCAGGAAGAGTGTTCCTCTTTGTCTCCTGCACTGTGCTAATAATATAATATAATATAATATAATAATAATAATAATAACAACAACAACTGCTGCTCTGGGATCAGAGTGAAGAGAGGGGGCAGGAAGAGAGTTCCTCTTTGTCTCC